TTTTTTTTTTTTTTTTTTTTTTTTTTTATCTCATGGCCTTCGTACAAATTACCCATGAGATAATTAACTGATGTTTTTTTACCTCTTCAAAACGAATGGAAAAAAAAAAAAAAAAAATTCCGAGTAAGTTTTTTTTCTTCAAGATTTCACAGCTCGGAACAAAAACTGAAAAAAAAAAAGAAAAGAAAAAATCCGAATTACGGCTCCGATTTGTTTCCCAATCGCCGGCGGAAAATCAGATCCGGCCGCCGGGAAAATAATTTGTTTTGATGTGAATTATATGATTTTAGTCTTCAGAGATGCTCTCTAAATGCGGCCGCCATACAACGACGCGGCTGCCGCTGCGGCGGTCCCGCCGCGACGGTTTCTTGTCGGAGACAATATCGGAGAGGTAGGAGGTAGCGTCAACGGGGACGGCGGCGGTAGAGTTCTTGGTTTTTTTTGACGAATTTTTGAAGGTGTTGCCGCCGTTTTTTTTCTTCTCCGGCAAGGAAGTGGCCGGAATCAAGAAATAAATACTGCCCCTTTTGAGCTCTGATTCCGGGGAGAGAATCAGAATCCGGCGAACGACTCCTTGTGAAGAAGGCTTACTAAGAACATGATTTGGGTTGGCTTTGAGAACCTCGCCGGCGGTGATGGGATGGGCAATTTCCTCCACATGGCCGCTCAAATGGACGATCCGGATCAAATCTAGAGCTCCACAAGGAAGAACACATGCCAAACAGCACCTTAAACTGTTACCCATTTCCCCAAAAAATAAAATTTCAACTTTATCTCTAAAATGTTTGAATTTTTATGAATGGAGGAAGAAGAAGGAAGGATTCAAAGGGATATATAAAGAACCCCAAAATTACTCGTACGAACAAAACAACAAGTCGTGGATGTGAAGTTACGAGATTGCCCTTTGGAGTAAATCGCAATTCTTGTGGCCTTTTGTTTGTATTTGAAAAATAATTTGTTTTGGTGGTGGGGCTGTTTGGCAACGGTGATAGGGTATCCCTAAAATTATTGGGCAGCTGGCCTAGGGCAGGGCCATGAGAAAATTCATATTAATAACCAAAACATTATTATTATTATTATTATTATTATTATTATTATTATTATTATTAT